GCAATTCCAACTAGTTGAGAGATGAAAGGCTCTGAAAATGTTAAACAAGATTGATATCCCTAAGTGACACTTAAGTGTGAATCTAAATTTTACATCTTTCAGAGGAGACAGGATCTTAGAGGAAGAAGTAAAAAGAGGTAAAGCATGGAAGGTACATATTGATTGATATTGTGGAAGATCTGTAGTTGATAACAGTAACAAATACTGGAGTCTACCACAATAGGTGATGGCCAGCAATGTGAAAACTGGTGTGTGCATGCATAAAGAAAACATCACTTTGGACCTAACTAGTGAACAAGAATCTGCATTCTGGCAAAGATCTATAAGAGTATTCCATCTGGAATAAGAAAGAAGTGTGATAGGTCAAAAGCCTATGCAAGCTTGGCACACAGAAATACAAAAAAATATGATACTCAGGGAGTTTAATTGGTGAGAGAAAGTGTAAAATAACCTATTTTTAAAGGAACATGGTGAAAGATGGCACAGTGTCTTCTAACCCTGTCCAAATTATTAAGATAATCTGAGAGCATTGGGGAGCAGTTGAAATAATTTAAGCAACACTATCAGTTCCCAAATTCCATGCTTATTTTGACTATATCATATAAAAATACATGAATGTGAAAGATGGAGAAATGTGACTTGAATCAAAGTTCAAATGTGTCATAAACACTGATGGCAAGATACAGTGCAAAGCTACTTTAAAGTATGTGGGAAGAACATAGCTTCAAGACTGACTTTATGCAGACCAGGAGGTCTTGTGTATGGTAAGAAACACAGGACAGTCTTGAAAATATATATGGAGATTCTGATATGAGAAATCAATGAATAATGGTATCACCAAATGAGGTGACCAAAGTAGAAGGACAGGTTGGTTTCATTGATTTGGTTGTGTTTGTGTTTGCAGAGATGAGCATTCAACTCAAGCTGGGACTTGCATATGGAAATCAAGTGCTTTACTAATAAGATATATAGTCTGTCCTGACATTTTATTTCCTATTTCAATGGCAAACATGATTAATATGGGCTTAAGTACCTTATCCCTGACAGACATGTCACAGCACAAGGAAAAACTGTTCCTTTTTTCTCCTTCAACTAGATTAAAAACTCTTTAAAGGTATACGCTTCAGTAAAGCACAGCACACAGAACTAGGGTCCTGGAGAGATGACTGGGTCAAGAATGTGCTTGCTGTGGAAGCATGGAGACCTGAGCGAGGATCCCTAGTGTTCATGAAAGAGCCAGGTCTGGTGAGCTACAACTAAAATTCCAGTGCTGAGAATGTGGAGTCATGAGGATGTATAGGGCTCTGTGGCCAACAAGTCTAACCAGTCAGTGAGCTCTAAGTCAACCAATGGAGACCCTGTTTCAAAAATTTAGGTGAGGATAAATCAAAGCAGACACTCAGTGTTGACCTTTAGCCTGCTCAGGTGCACACTGGCATATATGCATACTTTATAGTCATACAAATTAACGTCTCCCCCGCAAACATCCCAAAGATTTGTCCTGACTTCTAGAGAATTTACAGATTCTAGTTAGTACAATACAGCATATGTTAGGATAGAAATGATAATAGCCCTATGAGAGAGTCCAGGTAGTTTCCTGAGAGAAACAACATCATGCTGAATTCTGCAGGATGAGGGGAAAGAAAGGAGAATAAGGTGTAAAGCTCTCCCCACTGAAAGGCCCTCTGCACAGGGATAACTGGGTACTTGGGAATGTTGCATTTTAAAGGACACATATGACCTTTGGGATGAGCTAGATTTAGAATCTAAACCTGAGTTCAAAAACTAAGTAAATTCATTAAGAAGTTCTTCAATTCCAAACACTTTGTTTCTGTGGGTTCATTTTCTTATATCTGTGAAATAAAGGGGGAATAAAGCAAAGAACTTTCTAGATGATCATAGAAGCAGAAACCCAACCATGATGAAATTTGTTTAGTAAGGCAAGTGATACAATTCTGTCCAGTTTCAGAAGGGCAGTTTTTAGGGTATAGGTCGTGATTCCTTTGAAGAAGCTTCCTTTTTACTAGGCTCAGTTCTAGTTTTTTTTGTTTGTTTGTTTGTTTGTATTTTGTTTTTGTTTTTTTCAGTAGAAATTTTGGAGTATCATTTTCTATTGCACTTGCACTATCATTTTCAATAAAAGACTTAAAATCTGTGAACTAAAGAAGCTAAAAAAAGAAGGGGGACCTGGGGTAAGATGATCAATCTTCACTTACAAAGACAAATGGGATGGACTTTGGAAGTAGGAGAAAACAAGTAATAGGACAGGAGCCTACCACAGAGGGCCTCTGAAAGACTCTATCAAAGCAGATGCTGAGACTCATAACCAAACCTTCGGCAGAGTACAGGAATCATATGAAAGAAGGGAAAGTTAGTAAGACCTGGAGAGAACAGGAGCACCACAAGGACTAAATACATTTGGGCACAGGGGTCTTTTCTTAGACTGATTCTCCAACCAAGGACCATGCATGGATATAACTTAGAACCCCTGCTCAGATGGTGCCCATGGTAGCTCCATATCCAAGTAGGTGCCCTAGTAAGAGGAAGAGGGACTGTCTCTGACATGAACTCAGTGGCTGGCTCTTTGACCTCCTCATCCCTGAAGGAGGAGCAGCCTGACAAGGCCACAGAGGAAGACAATGCAGCCAGTCCTGAAGAGACCTGATAAGCTAGGGTGAGATGGAAGGGGAGGAGGACCTCCCCTATCAGTGGACTTAGAGAGGGGCAGGGAGGAGATGAGGGAGGAAGGATGGGATTGGGAGGGATTGAGGGAGGGCGTTACAGCTGGAATACAAAGTAAATAAACTGTAATTAATATAAAAAATAAAAGTTAAAAAACTTTAATATATTCATTGTGTGTTTCTGTATCGATGTGCAGCGTAACACGCCATGTGTGTGAAGGTCAGAAAACAACTTTTGAGAGTCAGTTCTGTCCTTCTCTGTCAGTAAAGGCATGGAATGGAAGGAATCAAATCTCTTTACTTCTCTCTCTCTCTCTCTCTCTCTCTCTCACACACACACACACAAAGAGAGAGATAAATAGTGATAAAGAGAGAGCTAAGAGGGAATAAAAATAGATTTGGTTCAAAGGTATAAAAAAGGAAGTAAAAGAAGGTAGATATAATTTTTGAGTGTATTAATGTTAAAAGGACCCATTTAAATTTACTGGGGTACTTGTGGAGACCACTGCACATTCTACTAAAATGTTTATTTTAAGAATATATTTGGAAAAGATGAGATAACTGCATCTTAAACATCACTTTTATTTTTAATTTTCACATCATAAAGATCAAATCTCTGCCTATATTAATGCAGAGGAGGTGTCCCCTTTATGCACTGCTAATGTGTACTGGAGAGAAAGATGAGACCAAGTGGGAGATAAATGCAGACTGGTGCATTGATCAGGGCACTTCTGACCTGGCACTTAGCCCGTTATTTGCTTTGTTGTATTCACTGCATTTCCTGTGACAGTTCACTACCTCTGGGACTATAAACCTGAAGTCTTTACCATTGTGTATGTCTGAGGCAGTAGTGTGGCATGCAGAAGCCTAGGGAAAATAGAGACAATGAATATTTACAGAAAAGTGCAAAGAAAGGAAAGGGGGATTCTAGCATTGGGACAATGACTCAGAATATCGGTCTTGAGCACAGCCTGTGATTGACAGCAATGGGAAAAAAAGATGGTTTTAGGAAGATCAAATATAATATAAATGTATGGAATATACTCATAATAGAAATGTATGGAATCATACTTATTGGCTCAAATGTGAGTAAATGCACTTTTCTCCTTAAAATCTCTCAGCATATGACACTGCACTCTGTTCAAAACATTCTCTGCTCTTTTGTGTACTCAAAGAGAGAGCTTCTGGTGTCTGATGAAGAGTTCAGCTCTACAGTGCAGCTGACCCAACAGCAGTGGAAAAGCAGCTTAAGCCACTCTGCTCATCCATCTCAGCCAGCTTTGTTGGAGAGGTGAAATGAGCAAATGTGCCTGAGATAAAAAAGCCAGAGAATTTTAGTCTTCCAAGCCACTTCATATAGAGTAGCTTTCAAATTAAAAAAAAAAAAAAGAATATTCATACTACAGTACCCATTCTGTTTGTGCTGTAATGCTTTGTCTGTCTAGACCCTCTTCCTTCTTACATACAAAAAGACAAGAAAGGGAAGTCCTTCATATGCCTTTCCAGACTCTCCAAAATACCCTTTACTTTTTCATTATGTAAGCTCTGAGGTTTAGATTCAGTCATCTAAACTCATGACATCAGGTATAAAGAACAGCTGTTTAAAAAATACTCTTCTGGTAAATTTTGAATTTCCTAAGGAGCCATGAAGATTTAGAGTGGTCTCCATGTCTTCAGACCAGACCACACTTAAACTGGAGACATTAAATTGCATAAAAGTGGGTAAAAACAGGGAGATCTCCTCTATCTCAAGCTCAGAAAGAAGAAAGTGATTGCAAGAGAACCCTGTCATGAAAATAACCATGTTCATGTTCTCACATTCCAGTACATAACAGATCAGCGGGTGTGTTTGTCAAAGTGTATCTCTTTCTTCCACTTTCTTCTCCTCCCTTTCCTCTGGTGGCCCCCCTTTTTTTCTTTCCTTTTTTTCTTCCAGCTCTCTCTTTTTCTTTATTTCTGTCTGTTTTTTGAGGCAGAGTCTCACTGTGTATTCCAGCTCTCCTGAAACCCTGACCTTCCTGTTTCAGCCTACACTGTGCTGACAGGACAAGTCTACAGCAATGTGCTGATCTCAAATTTGTACTTGAATTTAAAATGGCATATACACAAAACAACTACAAAAACAACCACGCACACTCACTTTAATTAGTATCTATATTAAGAAATTTGTAGTTCAACTCCGATGAACATATGGATTAAAAAATGCCTATTCATTGAGGCCCCCAAAATAATTTATGAGCAATTTTATCACATTTTTCTATATTTTACTTGCTAGTCTTAATTCTGATTCCCCCTTTATTTTCTTTATTTTCTTTCAAGGAAGTTTACAAGTTCGGTATGGACTAAGCAAGGAAGAAAGTCATGTGTTCACCATCAGCACAGAGAATTTGGCCAACAGAAGGGTTCATCAGGTGAAGATTAGCCGAGAAGGGCCAGAACTTTCCATTCAGGTACTTCACTTCTCAGCTTTCCACTCAGCCTACATGCCAAGGCTTCTCCACTAAACTGTCTGAGATTCTGACTCAAGCCTCATACTGAAGTATAGAGGTTCCCCAGACTCCAGTCCAGCCCTTAGCTATGGTTCTTTTTTCTTCCCCCACTGGCATTTCTATCACCTGGAATAGAGCTAGAAATGAAAACTGATGAGTATTCCATCAGAAACTAGTAGAGAGAAGGAAACACTGGAAATTCTAGTTTTGCTCAAGTTTAATCAGCTCTTAATCAGATTGAGTGAAGAAGGGATGTGTGCAAAGAGGAAAGTACTGAAGACTGTAGAAAGGATTGCAGGGAAAATGGGAAGGTGCAGGTGGGTACAGAGGAGGGCACAGGTGACATAGAAGCCCTTGGGAAGACACAGGTCTCTGCCGTATAACACTGTTTAGTTCCTAGTTCAAACTGGTTCTTGATAACAAGGAAGAGCTGGCTGGGTAGAAAAAATAAAAGAGAAGGTTTTTGAAGGGTTCATGTGTGCACAGATAGAGCTGTCTAAGAAAACAATGTGGTAGTCTTCTGTGACTCTATATGAAGAGCCAACAGCAGAACAGGGCAGATCTTACTAAAGTCCAGCCAAACTACAGATTACCTCTCTTTGATCATAACATAAAACAAAAATGTAAATCATCTTGGCAATCGCAATTTTTCTTAGGGAAGTTTAATCCATTCATTGTGTCCTCTTCAAATTTGTCACTTCAAATGCCCTCCTCCTTATTTGCCAGCAGATGCAATAGCATCTTCTCTCTCAGAAGCTGACTCTTCTCTCTTCCTCTGTGAACTATGTATCTTTTAAAAGAGGCATCGCACACTTGTGTTAGCCTATCTCTTCCTACCTGGACCTGAGAGCTTGTATGCTCTCTCTCTCTCCCATGGCTAAACTAAATGGCCCAGAGTTCTAAGAGACGCTCTAATGCTTATGAGTCAGACCACATGTCCTTCTCATAAGCACAGCTCCAATATCCTTCTGTATTCTAGTCTTTTTAACACCTTTCCATCTCTACTAGATATTAAATACACCAAAACAAGCAAGCAAACAAACCAACAAAGATGGTTGTTTCAAGGAAACAAATCTACTTCTCATCAGTTTTTCACATTGCTAGACTTTATCATTTTACAATGTCTTGGAAAAGTAGATATATACCAATTTCCAAAGTGCATCTTCCATATTAGCTACTTTGTTGTTTAATGTGACAAAATACATAAGAAAGAACTTAGGTGAATTCTGGCTTGCAGTTTGCTAGTGCAGACCATTATTGCCACAGGAGCATATAGCAGCTGGTCACATTCCATTCCCAGTCATGTATCAGAGATAGATGAATGCTTGTATTCATCTCACTTTCTACTTTTTATTTATTTCAGAATTCCAGTTTTTGGAATGGTGCTGCATACATTTAAGGTGGGTCTTTCCACCTCAATTAGTCCAATCTATAAACTCCCCTACATGATTGAGTTTGTTTCCATGGTGATTCTAAATTCCATGCAGTTCACAATCAAAATTAACTATTATGCCATTTTTCCCCTTAGTCCCATGATTTTACATAAAAATTTAACTGCTCATGATATAAATAAGACTACTTTTGCAGAACCCAAAGCTAAAGTGTTGCGAGGAATAATTTTGGGGAGGCATGAACAAATGTCTACTCACTCCATATTAGAATTAAACAGCAAACCAACATAAGAATGCCACTAAATCCAAATTATTGAACCAATGAGTTTTATTAAGATTGATAACATGAATATAGAGGAGGAGTTACAGGAGTAGAAATGACTTAAAGACAGCAATGTCAACACAACCCACTCCAGCAGGGATTGAAAGTTACTTAAGCAGGAAACCTGCCATGCACTGTACAACTTAAAGGCAGATCAGTTGGTAGGAATGTGCTTATTTAGGCAACAAATTATGGAGGGCCTTGTCCTAGTGTATCTGTCCAGTTTCAAGGACTTCCAAAGCCTTTGAAATATTTACTTACCAAGCTTAATGAGCTTTCCCTGCAGGACACTATATCTCACTTCCCCAAGTCTCAGTGCACATACTTACTTACCCAGGACAAGATTACCTGATATGACCAGTCAAGCAAGGAATAAAACCAGGCCTAGGTAGGAGGGGCTCCAGAGAGACTGAGGCTGTGATACTTTTATTGAGCACAATCAGACTTTTATACCCTTATCAGCAACAGAATGTACTTTGCAATTTCCAGAATCAATACAGTTGTATTTGCCAGGATACAATGATGTTTGCAAGCTGTGCAGGTACACAAATTTAAAGGCTAACACCAACTGTTGTGTTGAGCTTGACATCTAAGGGAATATACAGAGAAACACTTCACTATTGGAGAAAGTGCTTCAGTTTCTCAGGAACTGAAAGGTGCATACGCCCAAGGAACCAGTTTCTAACCCCCAAACACTATGATACATGCCTCTTATAGCAGCTAGACCAGGCCCACTCTCTGGTTCACTGGACCCAAACATTCCTACAGCGCAGGAAGTTGTAACACATCATGGTCATAAACCTTGGCTCACTTGTATCGCTGTTGAGACTGATCTTACCCTTTGGGACTTGACTTACAATTTGCTTGAATACTGCCATTCTTCCCTGAGGTTTCTTCTGCCTCATTAGTTGACCACAACTGTCTCTTTGTTGGTCTTCTGTCATTTCTCCTACCCAGTGGTATGCACAGGACTCTATTAGACTCCTACTGCTTTGCAGCTATGGTCATGTATTTGCCTATCTTATGCAATCTTACACTTTTGAGTATCATGCTTTTGCTAATATATTAACATCTATCTTTATCCAGACCTCTCCTGTGTCATGCAATCTGTTACCTTGACTTTTCGCTTACACTGTCTATTATCCTTAATTCATTTTATTGTTTTCTCTTAGTAAATCATGCTATCTAACAGGGAATATAATTTATTTATTTTATATCCTGTAACTATCTGCTAGAATGTAAGTTTGAGAAAAATAGGAACTTGTTTTGCATTTGCAAATCTCCTTCTTTACCAAACAGTCCCAAGCATCAGGTCTTTAGTGAATATTTGTGAACTAAGTTGGTAGATTCCACATGGTTGCAGATGCTATGTGATAATGCTATGTGATAAACATTGATGAGACCTTGTGGGGAAGGGGAGGTTTTCTAGATTTGTTTCTGTTGCTGTGATAAATATCCAGACAAAAATTAACTTAGGTCAGAAGAGGTTTATTTTAGCTCACAATTTCTGGTTACAGTCCACAACAAGAGTGACATCAGAGTGGCAGGAACTTAAAACAACTAGTCATATCAACATTCAAGAACAGAGAGAAATGAATGTGTATATATACTCATTTATTTGCTTGTTCCTAACTTGGTTCCTCTACTCTCACATACTTTAGGACTGTCTGCCTAGAGAATGGTGCTGCCCACAATGGGAAGGGTCTTCCCACATCAATTAACTTAAGATAATTCCTTACAGACACATCCAACAGGTCAAATCAATAGAGCAATCTCTCATTGGGATGTCCTTCCAGGCAATTTCATGTTGTATCAAGTTCATTATTAAACCAAGACAAGAGGTATGACTTTAGGGTTTAAGCTTGGGAGTATCCTGCCTGTAGCCTCACTTTTTGATCTCCCTGTGATCACAGCATAGAAAAATATATTTAGAAGTGAGATAGAAGGCAAACATCAGACAGAAAGCTTCTCTGTCACTTGAAACCTGCCACTTGCAGAGCCATGGAGAGAATTTCAGGAAAGCACACTGGGGAAGGATTTGATGTGGCCCATGGAAGAAGGTAAAAACAACTATTAGCTATTCCAATTAGATGGAAGTTCCGAAGTAGTTGTCAGATATATAACACAAATAATTCTCATACATCAGAAATTAACCACTCACCTATTACATTATTCCTGACATGAGTAAGGGAGACATCTTTGAACATGTTTGGGTTAGTGTGGGGAGTACAGCTACTATCGTACGGTGAATGATAGGATTTGTAATTATAACTTCCTGCTTGTGTAATATGTGTGGGTTCCATGTGGGGGCCAGAGGAAAAGCAGAGGTCTTGCTTCTGAGGAGATGCTCTCCTCATTTATGTATGTGTTTATTTATTTTTGACATAAGCATTCTCATAGGTCACAAAGGAGGTTATGTTAGCTCTCTATTGAGCTCAAAGGATCTCTCTGCCTCCTCCTCCCAAGTAATGGGATTACAATTGCATGCCACCACAACTGACATTTTACATGAGTGTTGGGACTGACCTCAGGTCCTTGTACTTGTGTGGCAAACACTTCAATGACTGAACTAGTCCCCCAACACCTTGTTTGTTTATAATTTTAATGAAGCTCTTATAGGAAAATGGGGCATGTCCTCTTGCTCATTTTACAAATAACATTTTAATACCTTCACATTTTTATGTCCTCTTCAGAATTAAAAAGACAAGTAGAACACAGAACAATAAAATGTTTCCTTTCTTTGTATATATAATTTTCACCAATCAATTTATAGTTGATAATAAGCAACCACTTGCTATTTGCAAAGTGCTGAAGAAAGTAGACAAGACTAGAGCAGATACTTTATGTTTTTATCCTCAGGTTGGTTTGTTGAGCCAGGAAGATAGCATGCTGTCTTTCTGACCATCCTACCTCCATCCCAAGCCAATATATATTTCCTTCTCTTTAACTAGAAAAAGTTGTGCAATGTAAGCAAACAAACAAACACAACAACAGCAAAACAAAGGTCCCTGCTTTATCCTTAGTCTCAGGTCAACCTGTAAGAAGCATTTCAGGAAAGAAAGGACATGTGGTTATCACTGCACTCAGCCATCAAGTAAGATCCCGACACTCCTGGATCTTCCCATCTCTGTTAATTTGGCTGCTAAAATTGCCTTTTCAAGGACTAGTAGACAAACCTGGCTACATGGAGACACAGAGAAGGATCCCAAGTCCAGAGACGCCATGGCCATGGACGACTGTTTATGTTTTAAGGTGTGACTTGGCTTAGCAATTCACCTTGGTGGACTTTTCTTTGTTGATTTATTTCATAGCAGTGTAAGGAGAAAACATTCAGAAGTAAGTGTGTGCATCCTTTTTCATATATTATATAGGAAATATTATAGTCTAATTAAAAAATAGTGAAACAGAATTAAGTCATACACTATGGATAATTGTACTAAAGTTATAGGATAAACTACAAGGTCAGGAGCTTCCTGAAGAGAGTTACTTAGTGAACATATGGAAGGAGGAACTAGCTGGGAAGAAAACGTATTAGTCCTAATCCCTTCTATTTTCTCCAAGCAAAGAAAACTCACTCAGTCCACTGTATGACTATCTTCCTGTTTAGCCTTTGTATTATCAAATGATGAGGGTAGTATCATTTGCATTTTCATATTGGAAAAGGAGGGCAGAGGGCATGTCTCAGTGGATGAAGCATCTGCCTTACCATCATGAGGATGTGAGTTCCAATCACAGAAGCCTTATAATTATCTAGGAGAGGTGACAAACACACACTGTCATTCCTGTGAGGGTGAGAGAGGAGGTAGAGAGACAAGCTGGGAGCCTGCTGGCCTAGAAGCCTAGTCTATTTGGTGATATTCTGGGCCAAAGAGAGACCTAGTCTCAGACAAAAAGTGGAAGGTGCCTGAGAAATGGTATCTGGAATTGTCTGCTGACTTATAAATAGTGTACATGAATGTGCACTCTTCCTCTAAATAATAGAGATTGGAAAAACCTACAGTATCTGAGTAGACTGAGAAAAATTGAGATAGATTGGTGGGCAGCACAGGAAGGAGAATCAGGGAGCAAACAGAATCAGCAGTGCCTGAAGACAGGAGTGATTGCTAAAGGAGCTCCCTAGAATTCAAAGCCTCCCATTGTGAGGTGATCAGCCAGCCCTGTCTGGAGCAGCAGTATGTGTAGCCACACTGTGTCAAACTACATTTCACTACTAGGAAGTCCTATAGTCCACACCTGAGAACAGGTCCCGGATATGGAGGAAAAGGAAAAGGTGTTGGCTGTTAGAACAAGAGGAGAGGAAGAAGTGCAAATGGACAGCACTGCTGGGTCTCATTCAACATACCAAATGGGCTTCTCTGTTTACTTGTTTTCAGAGAAGGATCTGGTGAGAAATTCTCAGCAGGAAGATAAATACCAGAAAATAGCTCTGCAGGGCTTCAAAGGGAATGAAAACCTGTGAAAGACCTTAGTTTTCAAGGACAAAAGAAAGGTTCTATATGTGCACTGTGGGACAACTGGTGGGGCATGTAGAATCTCTCTTGAGAGAGAATCTCCAGAGAAGAGCCTGCCCTGTGAGGGATTGTTAGCTATTTACAAGTGGGGTGCTGTACACCTTCTGAAAACCTGGGGTGATGGCTTTGTTTCCTTTTCCTACAGAGAGACCAGCAACTCTTCAGCTATAAATTCTCCCCAGGAGCCGAGTTCCGGACTGCGAGGTCACTCATCCTAGGCAAAGTCACAGGTCTGTTTTCTGTTTTATACTTCTCAGTGGCCTTTGTTAAGATTAATGGATTTGTAGTCTCTGTTGGTGTGTTCAGTGATTCACTTATGAGGACCTTGCCCCCAACCTGTCTTGATGCAGGTTTTGAAACAGGATGTACAAAAACAGGTATTTAGCAATGGTGCAGAATGCTATTTATGTTGACTTTATTAACTGGTTAGTTCTTGGCTAATGGTTTGTTATCTATGGAAATTATTTTGTTGATTAATTGTTAGTAATCCAGGGAGAAAGATAAAGTAATCAAACAATTAAGTAAAATACATCTTAATTTAAAATTCACAATTATTAATTTTTTTAGCTAGTCAACTTTTTACTTGAATTTCCTTAGTTTTAAACTAAAGGGATGAAGTAGGAAGCTGAGCATCAGAATAAGGATGGAAACTCACATTAGAAGAATGGAGACTCTTGTTTTCATGCAAGTTTTGTGAATTTTTACTATCTCTTTGACAATTTTTGTTGCCACTATAACAGTGAACTTTTTATACTTTCCTAAAGAATTTAATATTTTAAGGGATCTTTAACAATGCCTTTTAGAGCTGAAATATATATTTGTTTACAACTAATGTAGAAAACAGGCCTTTGTTTTATGTCTTACCTTTTCTCAGGAATTTCTTTTAGCATTTTTTTTCCCTTTGAAAGCCTCATGTATGATTTGTGTAGAAAACAGGGTAGAATTTTAGTTTATGCATTCTTCATGGATACAATATATAATGTGTGTGCACATTCACATGTATGATTGTGGGCAAGCATGTGGCATGAGATGCTTTTGGAGATCAGCTCCTTTGGGTATTGGTTGTTTTAGCTTGTTTGAGACAGGATCTCTTGTTCTTTGCTTCGTACATGAGTGTAGATGATTCTGGGTTATGTGGTTCCAGGGATTCTGTCTACTCCTCTCATCAAGCCTTAGGAGAATTGGGGTTACAGATATTGAGACTACCAAATCTGGATTTACATGGGCTCTGGGGCTTCACACTCAGATCTTCAGGCCGCCTTCTCCCTAGCTCCGGTGTTTTATTATCTATACACTCTGGGTATAGGTGTTTTACAAATTAGCAAATGCATGTCTTTTTCAGATTTTGAAATTATTTGTAATTTTTAACTTCTGCCCCTTTATTTCCTATGGATTCAGCTGCTTTTGTGATTTATCACGTTCTCTGTGATTCTGCTGGTCACAGTACATCTTAGAAAACCTTAACAACTTTGGGTAGGAATTTTATTTTAAGTAGGAATGGACTTAACACAGGAAATCACTGTCTTATGAAATTTTTGCAGCCTTTAACTCTAAATCTTAATATGACCTTTTGGAATGACTTCTCAGAAAATCTGAGGGTCTTTGAGTGGCATTTTGGGTGCTTTTGTTTACCTACTAAAACTCAATAAGAGTCTAGAAGCTACTTGGACCCATGTATAGAATATAGTTTTGCAAGACAAGAGACATCCTCTGAAAAAATGACGAGAGAATGTGTCGTGTTAATGGTGTAACAGCTTATATAGGATAAGAAATGATCCACAACTTCTCCAGTTTCCTAAATTTGTAAAGACTATAGCATTTCCAGAAGATAATGTCAATGCAGCACAAGACTAGCAAATATCAATTTCAGTTTCCCCAATGACACAGACAAATGAGTCAATCAATATGAATGACTTCCAAATGGGGTTATTTCTTACCTTCCCCCATGGCCTAACAATAATACTGGCAACAATAAAAACACTGTTTCTGCAGCTGTTTGTTCTGACTAACTAATGTGGCTCTGGTGAGTTTTTACTTCCTGTTCTCTGTATCTTAGACATTTCTTCTTTGTGCAAAATGTGATTTTCTCCTTTTGGGGCCAAACCTTTTTGACACATTTCTTTTTCTGCCTTAAAGTTCCTAATTATAAACTTTTATCCAAAGCAAGTTATTTATCTCATCTTGAGCCTTGGAAGACCATTTTGCTAGACAGCTATGGAAAGGATGGAAGGGAAGGTGAAAAGAAGAGAGAGAAGAGCAGGCACAAGTACATTCTGAGTAGCATGACCCCTGTTTCCTGACTGCTACCAATGCATACCTCTCCCAGCTCTGCCTCCATAACGTCATGAAGGGAGCTTGAAACTGTCTATATGAGGAGAGATGCCTTGACAAAATCACAAATGTGTTTGCCAGTCACCACCATCCTTCTTTAAGAGCAGATATGAAATGCAGACATGCCAGTGAGCACACCCCTTCCTTCTTGTCTCTTGGCTTCAGCTGTTGCTCTTGAAATCTCTTGTCACCTGGTTCGGCTTTTGAACGTTCTAACAGCACGCACAGCTGTTTTGATCATATGTTCTTAAGCATAAGAACCTTTATGCCTGTGTCTGGGTGTGTTTTGATGTTGTGAAATTTTATGTGTCTGCTTGTAGATTACTTTTTAAAGTTTGCTGCTTCATATTTTTATACTTCCCAAGTATATTAATTAGTTCATATGTATCTTTGCATCCGGTCACATTCAGTATTCATCTTTATTCATTAATTCCCATATTCTCAACATATCAACTATTGATTCTTTCACATTCTATGTACTCAACTCTGAGATCTGAATTAGATTAATTTTGGACTTTCTAATTTCACCTCACGTATCTCACCCTCTTAATAACTTTGCTATCAAAACAGTATGATTTCTAGGCATATAAAGCACTTTTATTTTTACTCATAGTTTTGTGAGTGTGTGTGTGTGTAAGAAAGACAGAGAGAGAGAGAGAGAGAGACATGGGTGCATGACATTAAGCACTTGGTTCAGGAAAGCATACTCTATTCAGGCTTATTATTCTTATAAAGCAAGTACTTTACCACAGAACCATCTTTCGGGCCAGTTTTTATTTACTTTTAATACGTGATGTTTGTTTTTACTCCCTTCAGTTATGCTTAACTACAATTAACGTAATATGTAAATCATATTAAAGATTATTTTTTTCTTTTTATTTCTAAAATTCTATTGTTTGGCCACCAAAACTCTAAATTAAGAAAACCTGTGGTCCTTGATTTCCACCTGTTTGTAAAGCATATTGATAATCATTATTGAACACTCTGCCTTTGCCAGTTCCACTCTTTGAGTCTCTGGGTATCCAATTCTGCAACTAGCTGTTTTCTAAGGTTGTCCTCTGGCGGCTTCTTTATTCTGTGTGTGCTGTGTCTGCGTGGATGGGGATGTGTGCATGTGTGCACATGCATGTGAGGATACACACATGCACACACATGTTAATACACATTTAGTTGGACCTGACTTCTGAGAACCTGGAGAGTTGAAAATGGAGCACTTGCTTCTTGGTAAAATTTGCATTTTTTCTACCAGGTGTCACATAGAGATACTGATTAGGATAATTTCAGTCTCTCGTTTTCGTTTTTGTTTTTTCTTTTTTCTTTTCTTTTCTGAGCAGAACAAGAATATAAATTTGATTTATGAAGTTCAATGGCATTAAAGCTTTCGACAGACCTTTTTAGAAGAAATGCTGTCAATTTTAGTACTGCACTATGTGATTTTTTTTAATTTTATTTTTTTCTTATCAGTTACATTTTATTAACTCTGTACCCCAGCCGTGTCCCGATCCCTCATTCCCTCCCAATCCCACCCTCCCTCCCTCATCTCCACCGTGCCCCTTTCCAAGTCCACTGATAGGGGGGACCTCCTCCCCATTCATCTGATCCTGTTTTATCAGGTATCTTCAGGACTGGCTGCAAAGCCCTCCTTTGTGGCCTAACAGGACTGCTCCTCCCTTGGGGGGTGGGGAGGCCAAAGAGCCAGTCATTGAGTTCCTGTTAGAAATAGTCCTTGTTCCCCTCACTATGGGAAACCAATTGGTTACTGAGCTACCACGGGCTACATCCGAGCAGAGGTTGTAGGCTCTGTCTGTGCTCCTTCCTGATTTCATAGTTTGCTCACACTCACCCTCTTTGCTCCCTCCCACACATTCTTCTTGCTTAACCCCCTCTTCTTCCCAAGTCCCTCCTGACTCCATATCTTTTTCCCACACTGTTTACATTCATGTTTACATTCATCTCTTTTCTCTCCTCGGGGGCACATCATTGGTGAGCGTGACTTATTGCTTACTCCCATTGTGTCAGGATAGTTTCCTTCTGCTGTGGTTTCCCATAAGTTCACCCTGAGATTTCAGTCCATCTTCCTTTTGCAAGGTTTCCAGACTTAACATTCTCAGTCTCCTTTAAAATAAGCCAGTTGTTCCTTACCCTTCTCCATCCCCACCACAAAACTTAATACTGCCTAGGTCTAACTCCTTTCTATCAAAAATTTGCACATATATTCTAAAATAGTTTAGATTTTGTTTCCTGAAGTTCAATACAATATTAAATGTTTGTTCTTTTAATAAGGAGAAAATGTATTTTAGTGTGTCTAGTCTGTTGGTAGTACTGTTCTATTAATATTGGTGCATGTTCTCAAAGTATTTTGAGTCACTGAATCCTTATTTTCACTGATAGTGTAGAAATCTGAGGGGAAAGTTTATTAAAGCTTTTTTTTTTTTTTTTACCATGAATCTCAGATTCCTGTGTGTGTGTGTGTGTGTGTGTGTGTGTGAATGTGTGTGTGTGCACATATGTTTGAGTATGTGTGTGTACATGCAGAGATCAGAGGATGAGTAATGTTCTTAAGGTTTAGCCCACCTTCTTTGTTGAGTAATGCACAAAGTGTGCTAAGCTGGCTGACCAGCAAGTCCTAGGAATCTGCCTGTCTCCATCTCTCTAGTGCTGGGGTCATAGATACATTTCTCTAAGCCAGCGGTTCTCAAACTGTGTATCAAGACCCTCATAGAGGTCACATCAGATATTAACATTATGATCCATAACAGCAGCAAAATTATAATTATGAATTAGCAACAAAATAATTTTATGGTTAGAATTATCACAACACGAGAAACTGATTTAAAGGTCACAGTACTAGAAAGGTTGAGAACAATTTCCCTAGACCTAGCTTTTATTTCTGTTCAGT